TTTCAGGATGCACAGGATTTCCTTATGACCAGTCCTAGGTAACAATGGTCGTAAGCAATCAATTTCCTTCCTCTATCCTAATTTGCCCTTATACATCATATTCAAGATTTTATCTGGACAGGGGCTGGTTGTCTCAGTGGATAAACCTCTGCCTTTTCACCTCTGGGATCATGGTTCAAGTCAAACCCTGATGAAATGCACTTGATCGTCATAATCTAGTTCTTAGTGGACAGTATTCCCATTATCTTTAAAAGGGTCAGAGCCAAGGCCATTGGGAAGAGTGCATTGTGCTATATCTTGTCTGTTGATTAATACATTTTCAGTGATGCCAGATCTTTAACCTTCATGAGCACACATATTCTCACAAAAAGCTTAATAAAGATGCCTCATGGACTAAACCTTTCTGTTCAACTTGCATATAATTTCAGGATTTCCTGGGAATATTAATAAACCCACAAATATATTACTCATAATTTAAAAGTATGTTTGCCTGAACTGTTTGCAATAACACCCCTAAGTTAATCAGCATGATAACAGGTCACTTTAAATCATTACTTGGCATAGAACAAGACCTTGACAATCCATTTCTACAGCACATTATAGTTTTCTCCTCATACTATATCAGCTCAAACTAAATAGACAGAATAAAGGAAATCTATCCTCAAAGACTGAGTTCACTGCGCAAAACACAGAAACTGAGTAAGAATGTGCTTGCTGCAGAAGTTTACCGTTTGTTCGCTACAGCAAGAGCTCTGCTGAAGGACCGCTGGCAGCGGGGTGAAGCTCTTGGCTTATTCTTCCCCATTGTAATAACAATTATGATAAGAAATGGAACCACTTCCATGACTATCTGAGCTTTCCTGAGTAACCATGTCGAGTCTGTGTTGGTATTAACGCTGGTGATAACAGCAGTGTCCTCTGAGCCATCAATCACGCAGGAGCTGTTGTGGGCTGGCACCCTTGGTCCAACCTCTCCTGGCTGCTACCCACTGAGGTTGGCGCTGCCCAGGGACAGTCCCTGCCGTGGGCAGCAGAGGAGAGCAGGACACAGGGACAACCAGTGTCAGCTCAGCTTTGTAAGCAGTCACCAGTTCCCACGAACCTCCGTGACAAAGGAGATCGTGATTTTAGTAGGAATAACATGGGGCTCAAGTCCGAACCCAATTAATTCACAGATCACTTTCATTACACAGTTGTGGTCAAAATCTTAAGGACAGCATGTTAATTTCTATCTGGGCTGAGCCTTTAAAATGGTTGATAGGAAAGATAGGAACGCATGCACCACTTCTCATTTCTGATTGCGGTTAAAGATTACAAAACTATTTCTGATCATTAAATAATTCCCCTGTAGTAATTACAAGTTCTTACACACTTCAATATATTTATTTAACTGACTAACCAGTTCAGACCAGAGAAGCCTCCTGTGTTCTCTGCGCACTGTTCACGGGCACATCTCTGGAGCAGAAGGACACAATCGTGGTGCACAGGACAGCTTGGCTGTAGCCCATCAACAAATCAGAGGAGATCAGCTTTTTCTAACCCAAAAGCAACAACTACAGGCTGGGGGAGACTGGACGAGCAGCCCTGGGGAGAAGGACCTGGGGTGTTGGGTGGGGAGAAGCTCCCCATGACCCGGCTTCAGTGTGCACTTGAGACCAGAACCCCCCCGTGTGCTGGGTGCACCCCCAGAGTGTGAGCAGCAGCTCAGGGAGGGGATTCTGCCCCTCTGTTGCATGAAGGGGAGACCCCCCCTGCAGCCCTGATCCAGCTCTGGGGCAGCAGCACAAGAGGGACGTGGAGCTGTTGGAGTGAGGCCAGAGGAGGCCATGGAGATGCTGCGAGGGCTGGAGCAGCTCTGCTCTGGAGCCAGGCTGAGAGAGCTGGGCTGGGGCAGCCTGGAGAAGAGAAGGCTCCTGAAGGGGAGACCTGAGAGCAGCTCCAGTGCCTGAAGGGGCTGCAGGAAACCTGGAGAGGGGCTTGGGACAAGGGCCTGTAGGGACAGGCCAAGGGGAATGGCTTTAACCTGCCCGAGGGGAGACTGAGATGAGCTCTTAGGCAGAAGCTCTTCCCTGTGAGGGTGCTGAGGCGCTGGCACAGGGTGCCCAGAGAAGCTGTGGCTGCCCCATCCCTGGCAGTGTTCAAGGCCAGGTTGGACACAAGGGCTCGGAGCAAGCTGCTCTAGTGGAAGGGGTCCCTGCCCGTGGCAGGGGTTGGAGCTGGGTGAGCTTTAAGGTCCCTTCCAACACAAACCAGGCTGGGATCCTGTTAACTTAAACTGGAACCTGTCTGACACTAAAGTGAAACTCTACTTGTTGTGCCTCCTCTTGTCCAACCTTTCTCATTGCTGCTCTGTAACATCCCTCCTTGTAGCACCCAGATACCATAGTTCTGTTGTAGTTACAGGAGTTACACCCTGGTCCACCTGATGCACTGTCACTCTGATGTACAATTCAGAACATGCCAGTTAAATATTAAGACAGTTTCACATTACTGCTACAATTGTTTTGCCCTTTTTCTATCTCAACTCAGTTGGATAAATCTGGGTGTTTCCTTCTGAAATAAAATCATACAGAACGGCCATTGCACCTCGAGGTAATAAATACAGGTAATTGCTAAGCTAACTTTGGAATAAGCTGCAGATAAATCTGGATAAGCCACAGATTAGTTTGGAGAAATTAGACCTGACAGATTACTGGGTACATTTCAAACCGAATTTCTGTTGAACAGATAATTTGTATCTATACCACATTTTTCATAAAAAAATGCTCATTTTTATAAATCTATCTTAAGATTCTTTTTTTGTTGATTACAATGTAAAAAAGAAGGAACAACTGTGTATGGACAATGATAAAGTAGCCTGTTGATAATAAATATTTGTCAGGTCTTGTCACATCTGTACACATTCCAGTGTTACTGAAGAGACACCACTCTGATAAAAAAAAAAATACCCTTGGAAAAATCAATGGATTTTGAGCTAAAGCAGTTGCTAAACACACAGAAAACATCTTTATCCAGCAGCCAGAGTGCTGTGAAAATTCCCAAGCCTTGCATTGGTACAGCTAAGGAAAATTTAATCTTCCCAAATACTCATCAGGGCACTCCATCCTGCAGACCTGACAGCTCCACTTATAATTAATTATACAATTTCGATGGGAATATCGACTAAACAAAACTATAAATCATAGAAAAAGTCAATAGGCATGGACACATTCAATCATGTCCCGACCAATGATTACTACTCTTAAAATACAATAATTATTTTCAGGAGCCAGCTTGAATTAAATTTCTGTCAGGCTGGTACAAGACCGGCGGTTGATGAAGGATGCGATGGATTTTTTGGGTTGAATTCGGCACAGACACATTTATCCTTTTAGATAGGTAGTTTGTTTTTAGTGATCATGGTGCTGCGTGTTTAACTAGACCATGAAGATTAGATTATCTCCAATGGCTCATTATATCGTTTATCTTTTCCTTCCATGTTTGATCTGGAAGATTTCCTGCTTCTTGGTGCATGAATGAAATGACTGCTGATTTTGAAATGGAATGTGCTTAAGTGAGATTCTGCCTATGCCTTCCCACACCACGTCCAGGTATGGAAAGGCAACCACAGTCATTGGAAATACCACCAGGATGTGGGAAATGGCAGCAGCAGGAATAGCTTTGCTCTGCTTCAGAAGTGTACTGGGAAAATAGAAAAATGGCATATTTGATGGGTTTAAAAAAAGTTAAAAAATTATGATAATCATACATGTAGAGGGAAATCTGGGACTGGGATGGGATTAATATGGAAACAGGAATTGGGATTAGTGCTATCACCTTGAATTCAATATCCCCCAAGCTGCAAAACATCAGTGAAAGAAACGTTCCATATTTCCAAAGGATTCATCTACCTTGTAAATTTAAGACCAAACCCAAGCCAAGCTATCTCACAGTAACTGTGTTTTGAAGATGTGCTGCCTGCAGACACACATGCCCCATAAACCAGACATGCTGTGAGAAGGGACAGCATCCAACGAGCAGGATGGACGTCAACAGATGGCTCTGACACACAGTTTTCTGCAGGTTTTCTTTGTTTAGTGCAGCCTGCACTATTCATATAGCTCAGGATACTCAAAAGACCAATGTCATTGGCTTACACACAAGATCTAGCACATGCTAGCATAGCTCCGCTGATGACAGTGAAGCTGGTCCGATTTTCACAAGCAGAGGGTCTGGCCCATGACATCTGCAATAAGGCTCCCACGCACAGTGTGCACATTCCTGATGTTTATCTGTGCACAACTGTAACTATTCACTTTTGGTTTGGGCTTTTTTTTGATGCTTAGTGTTGTTCCTTCAGACACATAACCCCTAGAAACCTCAGATGAAATTGGGAAAGCTGCAAGCAGTGATACAGAGACCTTCCAGAATGAAGTGGGTACATTTTGAAATAAAATCACCTTAAAGAAGATACAAAGCCATTCTCCACAGAAAAATCACAGTCCTCATTGCAGCTCAGAACATCAGTGTTCCTGTCTGCTTTCTCCTCATAGGGAGCCCTATATGATTGCTCAACCAGTGCCAGTCGGCTGCAGGCTTTGAGCTTTCTATTCTATTTATTCACGTGTTTTTATTATTCTTTGTACGCTCAGCAGACCAGGTATTTTCAGAACAGCCTGGCATTAAGGGCTTGTCCTAACTTATTATGGTGCACAATGAAGAACTAGGAATGAAACAGGATGCTTGAAGAAATGCAGACCAGAGGGCAGAGAAGAAAAATGTACTGTCATGTGCATATAATTTACATTTTTTTCTGTGCAAAAGCAGGTGAAGAGATGCCAAAGTTAAGAAGCTGTATGCAAGATAACTGGCTAAGTGAGGAGCAGTTACTGTGTTAATAATCTATCTCTTCTCTTTCTGTAGACAAGAGGGCTGATGAAAAGAAAGGGCTGGGCAGAGAAACACAATCTTTATGGGAGCTTCCAACTTATTCCTTCGAAAGTATTTAGCAATGAACTTACCGCGGTGCCATTGTTATCTCTAAATACATCTTGATTAAAATAGTCAAAGAGCTTCTTTTCTAATTGTAGCATGACCTGAAAAAAAACATAGAGAAGAAGGGTCAGTGAAGCTCCTGGACTCAGCTCCCCAGTGCACAGATGCTGCAATGACCTGTTCGGAGACATGCAACCCTTGAAAACCATGTGGCAGCTCCCCACGTCCAAAGCTCCCTGTCAGCCTGAGTGACTGGCAATCACTTACAGAGATCCAATTAACTGAGCATTAGGTGGGACAATCAAGATCCCTCCCCTCCCGTTAAATTATCAGCTGGAAACAACTATATTCCTGCTTTGCGGAGCAGGAAGGAGCGCTGACAGCGTCTCTGTTTACCCAGGGGACAGAGGGCATTCCGCTGTTTACCTTTCGGTCATTATCAGATTCCCGAAATATGAGCTTGACCACTTCATTGGTGTCAGCCGCCCGCACGGTCTGCATCGTGGCCTTCGCACACAGCGTCTAACGGAGAGCAGAGGGACACAGGGAAATGCTTTAGGCAACATAAGGCCACGTTTAATTGAACTGTATCAATCTCTGTATCTCCCGTGCACACCTGAGAACAGCGTTTGGTGCAGGTCAAAGCACAAAGCATTGCTCGTTTAAGTCACTTCCCCTCATGGCAAATTTAAAACTGTTTATTACCATTTGGACAGAAATAGGCAATATTAAGAAAATATCAATCAGATAAAGCAAATACTCACTGAAGTTACTACCATGCACCCAGGTTCTTTCACAGGTCTGATGCTGTATCACGCATTAGGTGCAAACATCCTCAAAGGCCACTTCCTACACTAATGACTCCACAGCCCTGCTGGTTTCTGAACAGTGTTCTTAAAAGCTGGTAACTGCATTGGCATGACAGCTCTGCGGGTTGGCTCCTGACTGCAAACACTTTGACCTTGTCAACTCATGTTCCAAGTATAATTTTGAAGTCCAAGCAATGCTCATGCAACCTAATGGTAAGTTTCACAGTTTACTCTGCAAAGCAAATTCCCCATTCATCATCCTTTTAAATAAGAGGCAACATCATGTCTCTAGGTACCACAGAATCCCAGCCTGGTTTGTGTTGAAGGGACCTTAAAACTCCTCCAGCTCCAACCCCTGCCACGGGCAGGGACCCCTTCCACTAGAGCAGCTTGCTCCAAGCCCCTGTGTCCAACCTGGCCTTGAACACTGCCAGGGATAGGAACATTGCAGGGATGGGATATTTTGAGGACCAGGTGCCTGAAACTTACCACCAATCACCACTTGACCAGGCACAGACGTCTGAACTCCCAAGGAAGTGCCAGGCCTCAGTTAACTTGCCATTCACCTGTTTGAGGCCCAACTTCAGCATTCATCAAAGCTACCCAGAGGTAACACACAACAAGTCGTTTGAAGGGCTTTCTCTGTTGCGCTGTAACAGGTGAAAATCTGGAGCTTTCAGCAAAGCATTTGGGCACGTATTTAATTTAAAAACATACTTTGGATTCACTGAACCTCTAATTTTAGTGAAGCTTTAAGTATGTTAAGTGCTTTAAAATGCAGAAATAGACTACATCCGAACTGAGGGGCGAGCAGGCTTAACCAAGTGCTTGGGCAAAGCTAGTGGATATTAACTCTGCCCCAGCCCATCTGCCTGGTGCTGGAATCCACAAGGAAGGGGAACTGAGAAAACCTTGGTGTTACTCGAAGGCAGGGAGGAAGCAGTGAAGATAAGCATCCACACCCCAACCCAGTTCAGCATCCCCTGCTACAGCCACGGCACGAGCTACTGACAGGATCTATTCACAGCCCTGGACGACTACATTGCCAAAGACTACCCTGGGCAAAAGCTTATTTTATTGGAGGTTCTTAATAAAAGCATAATAAAGAAAATAACTTGGTCAAGAAGAGGCTACAAGGTGACTTCCCTGCTCTGTCTGTCCCACTCCTTTTCATAATGGCCAGACAACAGATTTTCACTGTGCATAATATTCACATACAAGTATATTCTGCAGTAATAGGGTAATAGAATTACACATCCTACTACATGCTTCTCTTACAAATATAAATCTATATTTATATTGGGATTCATTATCAGAAGTGCAGTATCTATCAGACATGATGCCATGGAGCTGTGGTGTACTTCTCAGCTCCCCATTCTGAATCTATTCCAAGGCAAGAAATACATGCCAAACATGTATTTGAACAAAAATCCACCTGCTTGCAAGTATTTGAGATCTCAGCTGAGGTGACCGGTGCTACAACAGGAACAATCTGTCAATGGACTTTTTGCCCCCATTTTCTAGGAAGACATCAAGGCCAGGATGGATGCAGCTTGGAAGGTCTAGTGGAAGGTGTCCCTGCCCATGGCAGGGGGTTGGAATCGCATGAGCCTTAAGGTCCTTTCCAAACCAAAGCAGCCTGTGATGCTATGATTACAAAACGATCATTGATAAAGGTCCTCGTGTGCTGCCCAGGACGACCAGAAAGCAACAAGCTTTCTTTAAAGGACAACTGCATCTTTAAAGGACAACTTCACTGAAAAATAAAATCTGAGCCTGATGGCTTTTGTCAAGTCTATGAGCTGAAGGGGCGCTGATTCCCCATCTCGCTGAATAAACAACGCCCCTTCCTGATGGATATTTTTTTGTTTCTCCCCCCCAAAAGCAGTGCCATGTCTACAGATTACAAACATCTAACTCTGGTTTATCCTAAACACCTTGACATGCTCACAGCACTGACGGGGCCAAAGGTGGCTGTGAACTCAGTTTTCACTGAGGACAGGAGTGCTGGTGACATGGACACAGCTGCGGGCTGCCTCTGAGAACTTCACCCCTGCTGCGGGATCTGTAAGAAAGGCCTGGGAGGAGAGCGGTCAGGGGCTGGCAGGAGCTCAACCTGCCTCTGCCTGGGAGGAGGAGGAGAGGCACACGGCCACCAGGGAAGTACACGTCTCGTACCACTTATCTGCGTGTCTGGTACCCCTTATTTCCAGCACATCCCTCGCATCCTCCCCATCCCGCAGGATCCCTTTTGTCAGTTGCACACGTAATTACCGCTCTGCCATCTGTGTCGACGCGGACCCGGTGAGGTAATCCACCAGTGAGCCATTCCCAAAGTGCTCCCTCCGACGCGGGCCATTGAAATTCAAGGCACAGATGAGCTAATCGGGTCAAGCCCAAAAAAATAGCGCTTTGGGCTCATGTGTCACAAATCAGTCTGGTCGCCTTTAACCAGCGCACCAGATTAGAACAAGCACTCGAACAAACCAAAGCGGAAAACCCGCCGCTCTCTAAAGCTGGTTTCTAAAGCCCTAACAAATCGCTCCATCTTTCACTCATTTAAACTTTCCAAATGAGGGTCAATACGGTCCCCGAGCATCCAAATGCTAATGCGCTTAAGGGTGCTTAAGCAGCTTTCCAGAGTGAATGGGCCAAAGAAGGGCTCGAAAAGACAAGGCAGAGTTACTGTCACTGTCAAAAAGTCATTGTAGCCACCCCCAGAGCGGTTGCAATTCAAGAAATTCATGATTTCTGTCTCTTAAAGGCATCTGCTTGAGAGCATTTCTTTTTCTGAGCTGCTTTATCTCACAACTTCAGGCCCGCTCCCAAAGAAAAAACCCCGCGATCAACTCTTGAGAACCAATACAGAGAAAGGACCCACATACCTTATTGCTTTCAAATTTCACACACACACAACGTTACCTTATTCACAGACAAAAAGTGATTGGGCAAAGGTTCATTTCTTATACAAGCTGGAGCACTTCTTTTTTCCTCCTCATTTCAATTTCTACAAAGTCGTAGTCACCCAAGCAGAAAACTTTGGGGAACATGTGCCCTTTGAGACAAGACTACTCTTGAAGGGAGTTTTTGTCGCTGGTAAAGGAAATCAAAATGCTATAAAACCACACTGTTTCCTTCTGGGTATTCCCTCAGAGGTACCCTTTTACAAAGTCAGAAGAGGGGAAATCAGGCATCAAAACTCTACCCACATTATCTGCTTAAAACCTTCTTTCTGCTTTGGAAACAAGATTTGGTTAAAAAGTTTGCAGGAGAGGGGGATTCAGAGCTGAAGGAGAACTGGGTATTCAGCCTGTGCTTAGCAAACACTGCTGGGTCTTACTCCCACTTTCATATACACTGCCCACAGGCAGAAGCTCCACAGTATTTTAAATATAATCCTTTGTAATAATTTATGTCATCAAATTGTAAATCATCGCGAGAACTTTTCTGATAATTGCCTTAGAACGCAATCAAAGTGTCCTATTCTGCAAAGCTGGGAGTGAAGGGTCTTTACGTTGGCAAGAGACAAACCTAGAATTTCTTCTAATCTCTGCAATCCTCAGAAACTGGAAACCTTTTGATTTACAGCATAAATGCATTTACATCAAATGTATTCATGTCAGAATACAGCTGCTGCCATAGACACACACCACATCAAAATGTTTTAGACTGCTTCTGCAAACTTACAGTAAAAAGAGATAAAGGCATTAGAACAACTGTGTTACATACGCAACCCACTCACAATGTCCTACAGTATGTATGTTAGGATTTCTTTTTCTCATGTCTGTATGAAAGCCTCTGCAGGGCTGGCACCTGCTCTGCTGTCCCTGCCAGCAGCGCTCCTCTGCTGCAAACCGCACCTCATGTTCACTGGTTTTGCACTCCTGCTTTCTGGGCATCCCCTCGCCTCCCGAGTCCCCTCCCGATGTGCGCCTCAGCCCCTGCGTGTCTGTCACTGCAGAACAAACTCTTCTGGGAGAGAAAGGGAAAAAATCCACGCACATACAGGCTCCAGCTTTCCTACTGCCTCCTCTCCTGACCCTGAGGGTGTGCTTCCCAGTGACCCGAACTCCTCCCTCGGGACTTCCCAGGACTTTGAATTCTTCTTAAAAAGGAAAGAGAAAGGCACTTGCAATTTCCCAGAAGCCGCATGGACTGCGCCATGCATGCTGCTACTCATGCCAGCACAGCAGTGCACGGGCGGAAGAACCTGACATGAGCCAGCTGAAATAAGGGCCTGAGCAACCAGATCAGTTAAATGGAAGCCACTTGGTTTCATTCTGGTTACGTACACTGTGGGTTCTGGCAGGACAGAGAAGACGTAGGCACAGGCATCACCTGACAGTGAAAAGCTGCTCCTGAAATGCTGCTCAAAACTCCAAATCAATCTGACGCTAAATGAGGATAACCAAACGGGTTTTTAATTACCATCTGGATGCAAACTCTATTTGGAGCAACCAGCAAGGTAAAAGACTTGCTACTTTGGGAATAACAGGAACATCTGCCTTGTTTGGGCTCCTCCTTGCCTCTGAGGGGTTGATGCGATTTCCTCCACAGCAAGTGTAACTTCCTGAGCCAGTGAAGTTGTGTGTTTTAAACTACCTGCCACCAAAATGGAGACTTACTTCAGTTCGTTCTACACAGGGGGCAGAGGCATTCGGCCACAGAGCTGATGAGAACAATTAGGAAATGGCAGAGCTGAATTCCCCAATG